CCCTTGAGGGACTAAAGCTTTACCTGGCTTCAGTGTTTTTGTGGTCAAAACAAATTACAGGACAGTGTTCTACAGTGCCAATAAGAAACAGATGTATCCTTTGTTTACGTGTGAAGTTGGCACCAATCCTATTTGCTGCACCAGGACTGAGACCCAAATATAAGACGAGATCAGTGCTGCAGGGGTGTTAGAGCAACCACCAAACAATCTTCATGAAATTTTCCACTTGACAGCAATGGCCTCCATACAGCCTGGCTCTTGACGCGGTAGACCTCACTGCTTAGAGACCCCGGAGCAGGGTGAATAACGGTCGAGGAATTCCTCGACCATGGCTCTCTACTGTGCGAGAGTAGTGTCGAGAGTGAATGTACGCGCGGAGAGCACAGACGGCTCGCGGGTGGCGAGAGTGAATGTCCGCGCGGGAGAGCGTGACTGAACAGGCGAAAATCCTCGACGAGCCGTTGAGTTTCCTCGACCGATTTTCACCCGCCCTGAAGAGCAATGCCTGTATACTCCCAAAAATTTGATAATTTCTCTGAAGGTTGCTCTGAAGAATGCACGTAATAATTCTGATGAGGACCTGCGTCGGCGGTACACTCCTTCCATCGCCGTTCTCGTCCATTTGATTGGAGCAAAGACGATCGTATCGAATTCTAGTGACATTTTATAGATGGCTTGTTATTCACCTACATTTCGAATGTAATTTATGTCCACTTTTTTTTCTTTATACAGCGATTATCCGTCAATGGGTAGATAATTTATCGCATTCTGTACAAAAAGGATGTTCACATGTTTCGAAAGGACCGGGCCCATCTATCTAAGTTCACCCTATGTTTGTAGTTTTTTATTCCAAGTTGCCCTATTTATACATTTTTTATGAAATGTCATCCTGAAAGCCTTCCCCTAAACTGATAAAGTTGATTGTGTGATCATAATAGAGCGAATGTCACAATGTATGGTACAGATTCCTGCACAAAGGTACAGGCTGATCGCCTTTAGGAAATCAGCCATATCTAAGAGTGGAGTAACCTTTCGATCTGCCCTACGACACAAACTTCAGTAGCTGCTCAAACTCATATTGCTTGTGCTTACAGAATGATTCCGACTCTTCTGGTTGGCGTAACTCATTGCAGCTATCGCTGCTCTGAACTATTGTCGTTCGAATGTATTTCCTATATCTTTACCTGTTATCCCATTGATCATTGTCGCAGTAGCTCAATCCAGGTTCTATGGCCAGTAGGTGGAATCCCATATGTGCCATGCAAGCTTTCTATCCCTAATGGCAGGGTATGATAGCAGGTAGCGTCGTTCGAGAAGAATGAATGCTGATATGAACTGCAGATTCTGTAGGGTCCCAAAAGTCATTGCACTAAATTCAAAACACTCCCCGTTGAATATACATTTTTGAATACATGTAGAATATGTGGTGCTTTTTGAATGGATAAAGGCTTCTCTCTGTAATTTGATCAGTGACCGTTTTCAAGAAAGTCGCCTGCTGACGAATAGTGGCAAGCCAAAGCCACACCAGCGACAGTATCGAAGCTGACACCTCCAAGAAAGTGAGTTGAGCTAGTTTCTGGTTTTGTATCCAGAATTTATGTTACGAAAATCTCGCCACAATCGCATCATCAACATGTTTATTGGTGAAAATGTGCTTTCGGTGTGGGGCAGAGTCAACCCTGCGTTGCGCAGTTCAACGGCCACGTTGCGCAGTTTCGCCCGATTAGACACGTTCTCTCGCGCGAACATTCACACTCGCATGCTCGAGCCGTCTGCGTCTCCGCCCATACAGCGTGCGTTGAGGATCTCTCAACGTGCCGTTGCGAACTGCGCAACGCAGGGTTGACTCTGGTGGGGGTGGCACTCACTCAATCCGAGGTTGCGAATGTCTCGTCTCTCATATCTTAACGAACATAAACCAGAATATCTTGAAGTGAACGGCGCCCTACGATTCCCTACTCACACCATGTTACCCTTAACGTATTATTCTATAGCGAAAATTGCTGCTACTCTGCTGACTCTTCATTTTCACCAAATCTCTATGCAATCGTCATGCAAGTCCTCGTAGAAATTGGCTTTTCTGATCAGGGTGAATAACGGTCGAGGAAATCCTCGACCATAGCTCTCTACCATGCGAGAGTAGTGCCGAGAGTGAACATCCGCGCGGAGAGCACAGACGGCACGGCATGGCGAGTGTGAATGTCCGCGCGAGAGATCGTGTCTGATCGGGCAGAGAATCCTCGACGTGCCGTTGAGGAATCCTCAAGCGATATTCACCCTGCTCTGATGTATCCAATTTTGTAAAGATTCCCTGGTTGGTATCCCTATCCAATGGTACACTGTGCACTGAATACTGATTAGATATGAGTGCCCTTCCGCAACTTTTCTTCAACCAGATATTGTGGTGCCCCCCCCCCCCCTCTAAGCCACATTTTAAGCTTATTGAAATTGCACACTAAGGAACAGATGATGGTGAAGAATTATGATTGTTGCCCATATGAACTTCAATGACTGTATTTCAAGGCTAAAATAGAAAACGGCGCCCTTTCTCTTGTTTTTGTCAATTTGACAGCTTCTCAACTGACATCAACTTGAATAATGATGAACTAGACAGTGAAGGTGATGCGGCAGAGTCAACCCTGCGTTGCGCAGTTCGCAACGGCACGTTGAGAGATCCTCAACGCACGCTGTATGGGCGGAGACACAGACGGCTCGAGCATGCGAGTGTGAATGTTCGCGCGAGAGAACGTGTCTAATCGGGCGAAACTGCGCAACGTGGCCGTTGAGAACTGCGCAACGCAGGGTTGACTCTGGTGGGTTAGAGAGGTGGCCATGCTTCGGGCAGTTTTCCGTATCAAGCTCTGCATAGGCCATCTTGGCCTCCCATACGGGCTCTTGATTGGTGCCAAACTCATCTGAGAGGGCGGAAGCGTTCCTCATGTAAATTGTTGCTTAGACTAAATAGCATTGGAATGTCACTACGATTTTAAAATTGAATGCAAATCGCTTCCAAAACTGTTTACCGCTCAAGCCTTGATCATCTATTATAATAGGGTCTGTATTTAGATCGCACACGTTGTTCGATTTCCGATCATCTGATTTGGCTTGTCAGATGACTTACATCGACGCTCAACTGTTTCACCTTATTGAGGTATGCTCTCGAGTGACTGTGAGATTGCGCCTGGAGACATCATTGAGTACTACTCTTGTCTCCCTCATCGACTGTCACCTTATGTGGATGTCGTGCTCTGCTGTATCGCTCTTTGATTGGGCCTCATTCCTTTCTAAAATCTCACAAAGAAACATATGTATATGCGTTCCATTTTCTTAGTAGTTCATGTTTGCAGAGTCTTGGAAAGAAGAGGTTGAATCGAATGAAACCTTTCATGAATGCTTACGGGGCTGACCAAATGATAACAGCATAACAACCATTTATGATACGAGAATCGTAGCGGAGAAACTTCACATTCGGGAACAGTTCGCATTTTCAATTACCCGATTCTATCCAGCCTTCTTCGTTCAACTTGAATGCTCTCATTACAGAACTACTTTTTAACCTCTTTTGCCGAGCATGTTGTGACTGCCTAGAGCGCGGAGTTCACGATTTGGAAAAGCGGCCCACTTAAAAGTAGAGATGGTCACTGGTGCTGGGATGAAGAAGAAACTGAAACGGCACAAAACCCTAGAAATGGGACTCCTCCCCTGCCCGTTAATTTCTGCACTTGATGCGACTCTCATCGGTGCTGCTCTCTTCAACGCTAACGCTCTCTCTGCTAAACGGCTAGAGACTTGCGGCGAGTGGTTAGCCAGTCGTGGGCGTGCCGATAGCGCCGCGGGGAGGGCCATGCTACCGCAGACATCTCCTTTGTTGCGAATTGTGTGTCGATCCGCACCATTAGGGGGTCCGCCTCTTCCGTTGAATAAGTTTCCCCTTCTCCAACCTGCGACCTTGTCGTGGAATAACTTCAAACACATCAAGATTTGAGTCATATCAGGAGAATATTTGTGAAAATGTGATTCTGTACTGTATGTACAACCGAGTCAACCGTCCATTAGTGTTTTCCCAACATAGCTGTCATATTTCGTGATCCTAGGGGAAAGATGTAAGTTCATACTTGGAGCAACGCGGTCATTTTTCTAGTGGGACTGGGAAGGAGCGGACTTGGTAGCCGGGATTTTTTTTTACAAATTTGGCGACATTCCGAAAAATCTGCCGTTCCTACAGCTATGAGCTCTCTCCAACGTGCCCTCCCCTTTCCTCACACCTCGACACACTTTCGGAGTTTTTGGGACTAACATAAGTTTTCAAGACACTACGGACTCCGCTGACCTTTAGAAATGGTTCTTCACTGGGGCAAAGGTCGGTCAATATTCGAATTTGTACTAACGTCAGGGTTGGCGCTGCAAACAATAGTGACTTTTTGCGTTGAAGAATTGGCACAGAAACACTAACATCAACGTTGGGTAGCCTCTGCAAGTCACTGTATGGACCAGTTCGCCTTCAAATGCCACTACCATTTTGAATCAGAATAAAATGCGTGGCGCATCTTGGGCATCGTCGAAAGCATCACCCTTGATCATTTTGCCTATGCTGCAGCGTAGCACGGATAGCATCCGTCAAATGAAGAATGTGAAGGTCTTGTAAGAGGCCTTCCGCATTCAGATTTCCGAACACCATAGACTGCTGTGAAGCTTGTTCCACCTCATCCATTTCTGCATTTGTATCTGCCGCCTATCTTTCAAGCTCTCAATTTATCATATGTAACACCTATGGTCTTACAGGCTGTAGGATAAGCCGGGATTGAAGTGTAGGGTTCATGAGCATGTAGAGTTATCTAAATCTTCTATACACGGTTCATTAGCGCACGCAAACCGTGGGTTTTCAGCCTCCTGAACTTCTATTGGTGGGCTCAGGAACAAGACGAGATGAAAAGTCCAAATCTGGTCGCGTTTACCGAACATTTCAATAACGTGAGTTAATGACATTTATAAAATGCTGAAAATCTACGAGTCAAAACTATCCTCGCCTTTTACTCTTCTTGTTGTGTTTTAGGTCTCGTTCTGGGTACGAACACTTGTAATCACTCCGTCGAATCCAAAAGAGCGTGAGAAGTACATGATGAAATTCATCAAAATCATGAAGGTAATTATTCGCTTTAGTTCTGTCATGTGTACCTTACTAATTTGGCAAATTGCCTACTGAGCTAGTTTTGCGCTTCTACCGCATTCCCTTTCGGCCCCTTTATTGTTGCGCAATCTGAACTTAGCAGCTGCTGTAATTCAATTCCCACATTTTAACCAATGACTACTTTTAACCACTGTGATTACGGCGAGTTTACTGCGTCATTGTGTCGTGACGCGCTGATGCCATAGTAGAGGTCGAAGAGTGCCTGTAGGTTCAAGCCGGGCACGATCGCACTTGGATTAGCCCGGCGCGTTGCAGTGGTATTTGGAAGAATTAATTTTTGTCATCATGTGGCCTTCTTGCGACTTTGTCCGCGTGATACTGACACACGATATGCTTTCTAAGTACTTGATACACATACAACCACCATGTTGTCTGCCTGTCTCCTCAACATTTCCCCAGCTCATTTTGCGCATCTCATTGTCAGTCGAATTTTCTGGTACAAATATGGGGCACATAGGTTATGAATAATAAGGGAGTACAATCCAGCATTACAAGATTATAAGTTCAGGAACATAGGGTGTATACCGTAACCTTCTCGACGTTGCACTGGGGCGCGCATTCTCACGTGTCATCGATTTTCTCGTCTTCTCTGCACCCTCTCAACGAAGAGAGAATGCGTCGAGCAGGCCCGCGCAGAGTACTAAGCGCCGTTTATGTAGAAGGTGGAGGACACAACGCAAGCGGTTGTCGCTCGCCCCACGTCGAAGTGAGGCGGCACCCGGGGGCCACCTCCCCATGCCGAACACCGCGCGGCAGCGCGCCGCGTCGGGCCCGTGCGGCGGGTTCCGGCTCTCGCGGCGGCGTGTTCGGCCGCTTGTCGTCGCAGGCGAGTGTTCGGCCTCGTCGCGGCGGTCTTCGGCCTCGTAGGCGGCGAGTGTTCGGCCTGTCGCGCGGGTGTTCGGCCTCGTCGCCCATCGCGCGGGCGGCGAGCCGGACGCTGCGACGGTGTTCGGCTTCGTCGCGCAAGCGAGGCCAACGCTGCGACGGTGTTCGGCTTCGTCGCGCAAGCGGCGAGGCGAACGCTGCGACGTCGCTCCATTTTTGGGTTCGCTGCCCCGAACAGCAGGGGCGGCGTCGTTGACCGCTCTCACACTAGTGCTGGCATTGTGCACTGGAAAGCCTGCAACCGCGCTCTGACGCAAACGTGGGTTACGGTATACATCCTATGTTCCTTAACTTATAATCTTGTTCGGAGCAGTGTGTAGGTGAGATTTCTTTCGAGACTGCTAACGATTGTCAGCCGTCCCCTGTTCTATGACAACAGACGGGCTGGAGGAAGGAGTTGTGAGTCGAATCGTATGTTTCTCTCCATACCTACTCAGTAAATTTCTGAAATTTGGGGTCGCTGCCGTTATGAAAACTCCTGTACAGTAGGTCGTCTGATTTTAAGATTTGTCCCAATGTGGAGGCTGCTCTGCTCGAAAGTAATCCCCTTATGCAAGAAGAAATGTAAAACCTGCCACACTTTGAATTGCTAAGAAGCTTTTCATTCTTTTTTGCAAGAGAGGACCTTATAATTTACTATTTTAGCAACTGCGCCGACTTGGCAATTTCAATTCTTACTTGGCACTGCTGTCAGCCCTCGTGTCCAGCCCGTTAGCTCGTCTTGATTGGAACAAGACAGTGACAGACGCGTTAAGAGAACACACGGATATCATGGATACTGGTCATTCTTACAAAAACTATCGTCTTCTTCTACAACAGGCTACGCCTCCTACAGTACCCTATATGTAAGTCCGCAATTTGTAAATTGAGATTTTGGGAAACGGGGGGGGGGGAATGGTAGATGGTAGAAATAGTTCGCTAAATAGGGGCTAGTGAAAATGCTGGCACATACCAAATGGGAAAAATTCTGGAAACAAGTCATCGGTTTCATTGTCCGATTGTTCCTATCAGGTGTAGATGGTAGCAACTCCTTATAGCTACATTGAAGCAGTTGAGGATGGTTGTGTCATGATACTTTCCTTTTTCTTAGAGCTGCAATTTCTAATCTTCACCTATGCAGTGTAATGAACTAATCAAAGAGCCAGCGCTTTTGTTGTTGAACTCGTATCTACGTAGTTGGGGTTTGTGACAATTTTAAAGTCAGAAAGATGGTCTATTCGAGGCTGCCCATGGTTGGTGCTGGTACGTACATTCATAAAAACCGTTGCTCATGACCATGACATCGCTAGGAAATAAGCCAGTTCCATGGTTTCAAGGCTTTCCATGGGAAACAGGGAGATCTTCCTGAGATACTTGTGCTTATCTGCACTCACCTGTAGTGGGGGTATCCCCCAAATTTTTAGCTAATATTGTAGTTTCGTTGCCTTTTCTTCGATAAGAAACGTTTCTTTCTATGGAGGAGGGGGAGAGGGGCATATTCTGGAAATTTCCCAAAGGTGCGGTGACTTTGACTGTAGTGATGAGTGTGTATTTCATAGAATCTTAGACCTTGGTCGATCATTTGAAACTGAATGATTATCATTAGGCTCTGCTCAACAAAACGGTTTGGGGACTTTCTCGAAGTGTTACCTTGTGGAGCTAACCATAATCCGATCACAATTTGAGGAATATGCCTGAATGACTTTCTCTTCAGAGGCGTCGTTCTCCAAGATTTGACGTTTGTCCATGCTGGCAATTCCGACAAGCTCCCAGCTGAACGATGTGGTGGTCGACGGGGACTGGTGAACTTCTCTGAAACGATGGCATCAGTACGCAATACTTGACAGCATACGGAAGATGAAACGATGGTTAGTAGCTTTAAAATTTCTCCTATTTCTTTCCTACGAAGTCACGTATATTGGCGGATTGCCTTGACTTTCTGCACGGAGTCATGTAGTGTATAGGCGGATTACCTTTCTTTCATTTCTGAATACTGCTGAAATAAGCTTCCGGAACGAGCGCCCCAGAGCACTGCGAAGGGACGCAAAGGTGGATATCAGGGTTTGTTAGGGTTGTATCGAGCAGGCGTGGTGTGTTGGGTTTTTGCAGAATTGTTGTAGAGGTTGAGCCTTGAAGCAACAGCTCCTGATCATATTTGTTTGGGAACAGCGATCGAAAATGAAGGTATGATTCCGAGTTGAATGAAAGTGAAAAAAAAAGAGTATAGCCGAAGAAAACCTTCCAATAAAGGACGCATATGTTACTATTCAGATGAGGAAGGCGGCGGTGAGCCGAGTTTCTGAATTGACCTGCCTTCCTAGCGCGCCAACCCGTGTGTATTGGAGTGGCCCGCTAATTTAATTCAAGGATGACGAGTGTCCATGGGCGGGCCGGGATCTCGTCATCACTCCCGCATCTGCTCGCAATGGCATTACTTGTAAGGGCCCTAGCGCGATGGGCCTAGAGTCGCCTATACGACACTCTGTACACTTGGCGGGCAAACTCGAATTAATGCATATTGATTGCTTCAACCAATGCTTCTCTACAAGGGAAGGATACCAAGTCGAAGTGGCCATCCGTAATGAAACCTATACTCAGAGATGTGTTTTCGGACGCTGATCTCGAATCCACTCTCCAAATTTGCGAAACGATTCTCTGAAAAGTGTTACGGAGGTTGTTTCGAATGAAAGCCCACTGTAAGAGACTCCGGCAGAGCTCGGCTTCCAGCGGCGGCTTGGCCGAGTGGTAGTGTTGGCGGCTTCCAGTGGTGAGACCATGGATGGGATCTTGCTGGGCGGCATGGACTTTTTGCTTTGTTGGAGGTCTAATGTCAAATATAAAGATTAGTCAGTGAGCTGAATGTTTCACTGCTGCCAAAGCGGAACGACAATGTGTTTAGGAGTTTGTGCTAACGCCTCCACTTTTTCGTATGTTCGACCCTTGCCGAGGTGTTTCTACGCCACGGAAGTGACGTATATCCGACGATGGGCTAAACAAATGGGAGTTGCTTGCTCAACGGACCAAACTATCTTTGAAGGCTTAATTCTAGAAAGCTGACATTTGGACCCAATTTCGAAACTCTACAATGAGTCGAAGGTGTTATCCCTAGCCCCAGCCACTGCCCTCCTGCTCCTCCTGGGCAGCGAGCGTGTACGTGAACGTGAAAATCAATCCTTAATCTTCGGATGGCACGAGCAAGTAGAGCAGGCAACTATATCTCTTTCACAATAATGACTGAAAGTTTAATTCAATCCCACGATCAGGCTCTGACAGTGGGTTGATGGATAGATGACTGCCCACATTTTCGACTTCAAGTCAAAATTTTAGATTTGGACCAAATGTTGTTGAAAGGGGTGTTTCGACGCGCTGAACACGAATATCGCATCTGCTTGGCACGAATTGCCTTACACGTGCGCTACGGGTGTCAGAGGCGGTCACTTGCAAATGACGCGCACAGTGCTCGAAGCTCTTCGCCAGCTCTGTTTACTTGTGCTATAGGCAATCGCTGATAACTTAGCATAGACAAGAGTCCCTTAAACAACGTTCACAAGAAAAGCAAAAGTGGGAACTCGCCAAGAACTCGAACTCACGACCTCTCGTTCGTTGAGCCGCACCGCTGCCACTGCACTATCTCGCTTCATAACTACGTTCAAAGAGTCGTTTCGCAGATTTGGAGAGCAGATTTGAGATAAGCGTCCAAAAACACATCTAGTGGTGTATGTCTCGTTACAAATGGCCACTTCGACCTGGTATCCTTCCCTTGTGAGATGACCTGCTTTGAACGCACAACTCCCGCGAGCTCATGAGCAGTGCGCTATAGAGGAAACTGTTAGCAGTCATCACATTTGCGTTGTCACCGCTCGCACACTGAAGAATGTGGGCTTCGCCACGTCTCAGATATGGCAACTTATGCACGTTCTTAGAGATATTTGCGCGATAAACTGTGCCTTTCTTAACATCCGCGAAGCTGCCTGTCAATGCTATTATCTAGGCTTTCTTCTGAATTAGCGGCACTTTGAAGCCCTACGAGTCCGGACATGAAAGGAGAATTATCCATGAAGAAAGCCAACCATTTCAATTACCTAGGGATGGGGGTGGTCGAAAGAGACGAACCAGGCGCGCGAAACGGTCAGAACACTAACAATGCGTACCCTTCTTTGCCCGCATTGGTTCGAGCAATTGATGCGAATCTTCATCGCTGCTCCGCCTTTTCAAACTACCCCCACGCCGACCCCTCTCGAGCTGTATTTCTAAGCCCATCGCCACGTATGACAGGGTCACCCTACGTTGTTACTACAGTACACAACGCGGGCGTCGCCTAACTGTGGGAGTTGTAGGAGCGGGAAGCGTATCCGCGCCTTCGTCGCCGCTTGAAAAGACATGTGAGTTTTGGGTGAAGGGGAGATTAAAAATTGGAGACGGTAACGTAAATGGTGGAAAGAGGAGGAAATCCATAGGAAATATTGCGAGAATTTTACCGGCTTCGGGAGGAGTTGCCCCCGGTCGCGGCATTTCTTGAGGCAAAAGTAGCGGCGCGAGTTTGGGGGGTTGAGTACGGGTAACAGGACTTAAACTAGTATCGATAGAGAGCGAATATGATGGTCGAGGCGTCGAAAAGAGCGCCGGCCGTACCAATCCACTGGGGGGAGAGGGGGTTGGCCCTAAAGGTTTTGAAAAGTAACAACGAATTAGTAGACTGACCTGGTATGAACTGCGGCGAGCTGATCAGAATGCTCGGTGGACGCCGAAGATCGCCTGACGGCCAGCTTTGAGGCATGATAGGTCGCCGAGGTCAAATTTTTCCATGCGAATTGCGCGTCAGTTCGCACCCTCAAGAGGTCCGTGGGTCCCTCAACTAGGTCAGTTTCCCTTTCTTCGACCTTCATTCTAATCGTGAATTCCTCCTTTAATAACAATCACGATCCGTCACTGATATGTATCAACATCCAGCTGGCAATTTGACATAGGGCCCGCCAGCATTTTGCGGCCTTTAAAATGGAGCAACGAATGGCGGCTGGTGCCTCTCTCAACTCGCCAGTGCACTTCTGCTGCGCCCATGCCCGCGTGGGCGGTGAACGACCGCAAGTTGGCGCTTGCCCATAAGAAGGCTCGCAATTCGCGTGAGGGGGGGGTGACAGCGCTGTTGCCGCGCAGGAACGATCCGGCAACCGTGCGTTAGACAAGTCACGAGGGCGGCCGGGGGCGTGGGAGTTTGGGGCTGCCGAAAAGGGGTCGTATAGGCGCGAGCGTTGCGTCAATGGTCGTCAATGAAGTGATGTGTCGAGTTGAAGTTGGCGCCGCTAATTTTGCGGGTTGACGGTGTTATAGCCCCCCGAGGAATTGTCGCAGTGGAAATATGGCGTGTTGCGTGAAAACGAGCGTGAAGCTGAGAGGATAGGCGCGATTTCGGGGGCGTAAGTATATATCCTCCCCTTTCCCCCGGTCAGGCACGCAATTACTGGAGGCGGAATTTGGCGCTGGGACTCGAGATCGGTCTCAGATCGAAATAGAGAGCCCAATAATGCGCATGGCAGGCCGAGAGGTTAATTGAAGCAGGCGGACTCTGAGGGGGGGGGTCTTATCGCAGGCCCTCTAGAGGGGGAGGGGGGTCGTAAAATTTTCGAAACCGGTCCAACGTGACGATTGACCCTGCGAGTAGCTAGCATAGAGCTTGCGGCTCGGGAAACTCGTCCCAACGCGCGCGCCTACCACAATAGCTCGTCCAAGGCCGGTGAAGAGGTGATTTCTGTTTGCGACTTTGTCGGCATTTTCTTTTGTTTTTTATCATTACTTGCGAGCAGCTTAGCACCCATAATTTCGTACTCCCCTAGAATAGAACCAACCCCCTCTTTAATTATGAGTTTTGCCTTATAAGAAATGAAACATTGATTCGCTTCCGTTTCTTTCAGGGCTTCTTCATATGACTGGTTAATTCTTTTGTAATTGATAGTGAAATAAAGTATTACAGAAAAATTTCAGGAATTACGATATCAGTAGAGACGAGAAGGTGTTGTGTTTCTTTGACTCGTTCTCCAATTTTCTGACGGAGGAGGAGACGTGGGCACGATCGCACGAGATTAAACCAACGAATCGACGGAAACCTTGAATTTCCTAATTCAGATGATTTTCTTATCAAGGCTACTGTTTTTACTACTTCTTCTGTATGTACAAGTGGCCATGCCATTTTTGAAGCTTTTCCGGTGATATTACTGATTGATATGACGAATAACAAGTCCAATTTATCTAGTCAATGATGTTGCTATCAGAACACCAAGAAATTCTTCTTTAGACCTATCGCGTTTCCCTTTCTTCTTTAGCATAATTACAAATCCTGTTTTTATAAGGGTCAAAGTCGAACTTAGCAAGGTCTTCTAATTAATTAATTAATTGATGTCACGATTCTATGCCAAATTTATATCTGCTGACAGAAAACACGTGTTCTTAGAAATTTTTTCTACATAGTCATTGTCGGTGAAGAAACTAGTGAGAGAAAATGGTTTTAGTTCGTTTAGATCTTTACTAGTTCATCGCTACTTATTACGTTTAATAAAGTGAGACTCATAAGCTGGTTCTAGAAAAATCGTTTCGGCTGTTTAGGAATCTCGCTTTTAATTTACTGCACATATAGTTGTTCAATTGCGTTTGACAAAGTTGTATTGCCTTTTTTCGGTGATTTGCTGTAATAAAAGATCAACTACAGTACTTATATATCCATGCATACCCTCCCCTTCGAAAAGCCAGAAAGTGTCGGGTGCAGACCATACACCACAAGTGACGACGGCCTCCAGAAAATGCAAATTTTATTCTATCAGTTGTCACTAATTACAACTATCATTTACCAAAA